TTATCTATTTGTCTCATTGTCCTAATATTCCACACTCCTACTCGTGAAATATTGCACCTATCCTTATTGCACTTATTGATGATATGACATCCCCCGAGTAGTCCATTCCCGAACATCCGAATGGGGGACTAGTTTACGTCCGAAGTGCTTTACTCCAGTGGACGCCATCATTTAATTTGTGTAGTACATTTTACTCGGGATCATAATGTGGTGGCGTCCTGTTGCCTTTCACATTGCAGTATTGCGCATCAGAGTGTCATATCGATCCTCGTGATCTCTGCCACCCTAAGTACACCTTAACATCGTATGGGAGGTTCGGCTTGTCTTTGGCGATATACCGCCAATGTTTTCTTTTATATTCGTCGGCAAAGTAAGCATTTGCTGCCTTGTTTCCATCCATGCGGTCATCAAGCTATTGCTGAGTTTTTTCATGAAATCTCTACGTCGCTGCGGTTTTTATTTCTTCATATCTAATTCTAATCTATTCATCTCCACTTTATTGCACTTATTGATGACATCCCCCAAGGTAGTCCATTCCCGAACATCCGAATGTGGGACTAGTTTACGTCCGAAGTGCTTTACCCCAGTGGACGCCATCATTTCATTTGTGTAGTACATTTTACTCGGGATCATAATGTGGTGGTTTCCTGTTGCCTTCCACATCGCAGTTTTGTGCATCAGAGTGCCATACCGATCCTCGTGATCTCTGCCACCCTGAGGACTGAAAGAGCTGCTGCCCTCATTCAGCGACTTGTCTTAGTTTCTCTTTAAGAACTCCTCTCCCCCATTTAATTTCAGTTAATAGTTCTAATTTTATTTCTGTAATTGTAATTTATATGTGTTCCAGCAAGTTAAACGGAAATTTTCAAATACGTAACCCAGTAATGAAACATCTGTTTTCTAATATAATTTTGGATACTGTTGTAAAGTGGAAATTTAAAAGTATCTCAAATTAAGCATCCATTTTCATGGTCCACTTCAGAAATGGGACAATTATTAATTGGGCTCAAGAAACATTCTTTAGGTGGTAGATTAGTATTCTGCAATTTTTCTCAACAGCTCAAATCTTCGTATGGAAAAATACCCTTACCCTGTACCAATTCAAATTAGTTGTCATTTTGATATAATATTTCCTGGTTATTATTTTCTGTTCTCTATCCCGATATGATGTTAATTTATCTAAACTACCAGCCATAAACTGAAAAGAATCTAAAGAGTTTATGTAGGTATTATTAATATATTTCGTAAACGAATTGTAGTGTTCCTTGTTTACAGGTAGTAATGATATTCTCCGTTTTATTTCTACACGTAAAGCTTTAATTAAGAAATGATTTATTCAGATAAATTGTGAAAAATAACAGGTATTACATGAGTGATTTTATAATTATGTTACACCTTACATAGGATGGATCGCGGTAGTTACCCTTTGGATGACAGTGATCCTTAACTTCCTGATCTACATTTTTAAACGGTTTAGAACGAACATGATAATTTGTTGCAGTAATATATTGATTACAGAGCTTCTTTTGAGTAGAGTAATACGCCGGACTTACCCGATAGGTGGGACCAAGCGGTAGCCCTGTTCAATATTGCATATAAATACGTATAAAGTGTGTGTAATCGGAACCAGAGACTAAATAAAAATATAATTTAGAACAAACATGTTTAATAAAATGTTAGATAATACAAACAATTTACATCACTATGAGTAAAACAACGTAAATCGAAGTTATTTTTATGTCGAAGGCTTCATAAATTCTAACAATGTTGTCTGTCGTGTTACGCTTTTCTTCATCGTGAAATTTCCTCGTAGGATGCCAGTAACTTTTTTATTTCTCGTTCTGTAGTAGAAACGCGCTCTTCATTGGAATCTATTTCTTTTAAAATTAGTGATCCCTTTTGAAATGTACTGAGGTCTTCTGTTAAGCTTGAAATCGTCATTTGATTTTCCGATTCAACTGGGTGTAACGAATCAGTTTGTTCAATATCTTCATCATGCTCACGCGTTTCTGTAAACTCGTCGATTGTTAGCTCTTAATTGTGTGAATCTAGCAATACTTAGACGTCATCATCACCAATTGTTTGGCAATATCGACCACCTTTTTTAATTATACCATCGATTTGATCAGGATCTGAGGCTGATTCTCCTTTGGTTTCCGTGGTGAAGAAAAATGGACACAACTTTTTCCAGACGCCATTCATAGTTTTTGTGAAATCTCATTCCAAAATTGTCCAATAATTCTTACAGCATCTAAAACATTGAATTGCTTTCGGACAGAAAGCTGGCTATTTTGTCTCATAGCTTCATTTAGATATGTAAATGATCGCCTTGTGTAGTAACCATTAAAAGTTTCAATAACTCCCTGGTCCATTGATTGAAACAAGCTGGTAGTGTTTGGTGGTAAAAATATAACTTCCACCCGTGGATTAAAATTAACTAGAGTTATAGGAGGATGACCTGGTGCATTNTTATTGAATATTTACAGGCTATTTATACTAAATTATTTACATGGTTTTATATGGTGAGGAACATTTCAGCACAATACATTTGTGTGTGTATTTGCTGTTGACCCAGTTAGTCGCAGTGTGTCGCGACCTAACTAAGTCAGCACAAATGTAGACGCTTGATTGATACACACAATAAATATTTTTCGCTATACCGAGTGTTCCCACAAACGAAATCGCTCACTTAATGGTTGGAACACAGAACAAAGTTTATTAAATTATACATTAATTATCTATGAACGAATTACCCAATTTAATACCTTACTTAATAATAAATAGTATTAAAGTATACTTATTACAGCTTTCTATATTGAAAAAAGAACTTCCTAAGTACTAAGATGGTTAATGGCTTATGTTTGATCTAGTAGTGGGGTAGGAATTCGGTATCCATAACTTCCAAAAGTTTTCTCTTCACGCTCAATAAAAGTTCTTCAACCATATTTTTCTTGTGTTTTTCTGGATAAAGAGACGCAGCTTCTTTGTCAGCACTTGCCGCATTTCCACTTTCTGCGATGCTATGTCGATTACAACGATTTTTAAATCGGCTGAACCAGCTTTAACTCTTCATTTTTGGCCGCTGCTTCTTTTAATCTCTCAAAAATGTACTTAGCTTAAAAGCACACTGTGTTTTCGTCAACAGGACAATTTTTAAGTCTTGATTATCACACCATATTTGTAACATTGTTTCCATTTGAGCGTAGATACCGTGACGTTTACAAAAATTGTTTGAATCGAAAGTTTAAGAGCCTTTCACAGCTTCCGTAATATTTTCTTTATTTTTTATAACCGTTGCAGGCTGTTGATTCCGGTGTAGTTGGGTTTTAAATAGTTTATTTAATATTTGAGGGCGAAAACAAGTCTTTACAATTATTATTTTAAACTGAAAAGGAACATAAAAAATACATAATGGTCGTACACGCTATACCAACTAACTAACTAACTAACTAACTGAGTTAGTATGATGCCGATCGATCATCCTCACCGGACATCATTCACGCGTAAACTACAAAACAGGTGGCGCTTAAAAATAGAGTACTACACCGGTAATTTTTTTTTGCCAATTGACAAATTTTTATTTTCGATTCAGTCTTTGATATTTAGTTACACTACAAAGACAGTGTTTTTCGTTTCTTGTCAGGTTCGAATGACTCATTTTTTGGTCTTTTGGATGACATAATTAAAGATAAATCAATAATATGCCCTGCGTACGTAAAAGAAATCCACACGGAACATGTTCGAACTTGTAAACCAAACACGGTGATGCGCGCGGTGATCAAAAAGAAAAACTGCGTGTCTCCGAATTCGCATGAAACGGGGTAGCATAATTCGGGGCATTACTGTAATTCTGTTTGTTTGAAACTGCTGATAAATTGATGTGTAGTGTGAAATCATTTCTGATTAGACGTATAGGTATTATTATTTCCTTTTTCTCTATAGTAAATATATTTATTGATGATTTGTTCATTTCTTCAAACTTACTTGTATCATTAAATTGAATAGGGAAATTAATTCCTTCATATTTAAGAACTGTACTACAGTGTGGATATGATGAGGTTCTGTTACAGTATTTGTTTGAGGTTATTAAATGAGTGCAGCGACATTACTCCATAGGAAACAAAATTGATCATTATTTTGAATATTGAGAGCAGCCCTGGTATTTGTAATGTAAGATGGTAAATCTACATAAGTTGCTATTCCAAAGTTAATTGGTATATATTGATTAACGTTTGTAACATAGCGTGTTTAATTTTCTTTTTATTAAGTTCATTTCTAAATTTACTTTTAAAATGATTGCATAAAGATAAATTACATTCTAACTGACATTTATGTTTTATTTCACCTTTTTTTTTCTTGTATAAATAATTATAAACATATTAGTACCTATTTAAAATTTTTATCCACTTATGATATTCCGCTTTTTTC